ACAATGTTAGGGTTCAAAGCCGACAAGAAAGAATTCTTGAGATGTCTTTGGTGCAAAAGGGTGGTTTTATTAAAACACAGGGACAGGACCCATGGGCAGAAAGAGCTGCAATGGGGTCATGAGGAGTGGCCCATTATATACTTTCAAGTTGGGAGGGGGTTAAAGATAGCGTAAATCTCTAAGGAATTTTGGAAGCAAGGTTTCCAAGACCTTGAGGGGCTAGCTATTGTTGGGAAAATGTCATTTATTACTGTCTAATAAAACCTTAGTCATGAGACCCTTCAGATGTATATCAGTGGGCCATATGCTTGGGGGATGATTACCAACCTGTATCTTGGGGGTTTTAGAGACAAAGGAAGTTTCCAAAGGAATTTTTATACGTTAAAGTAGACTTAAAGGATCAGGGGACGGGGGGAGGGGGGGGTGTTAGGTTAGGATCGCCTTTTGCCCTTAGCAAAGTGTCAACATCGAGGCAGTTGAGTCCCTAGAGGAATGTCACTCTGTCTGTTTCAAGGATTTGTCAGTGGGCTCTAGGTAGTAAGGAAATTTAATAATTTTTCTTCTGCCTTTGTTTCCCACATCATTTTTTTTCCTATATCACCAAGCAATTAACTCTCTTTTGACATTGTCCACATGGAGATAGTATCAGATCCCACAGGTTAAGGTCTCAGTCCTACAAGACTGCCCTTTGCCCATATTTTAGACACCAATCACGAGTCCAGGTTGTCACCTGTGCTTCTCACCTACCGGCTGTAAATTGGAGGTTCCCAGACCCCCTTCTTTGGGTTTAATTAGTTTGCTAGAGCAACTCACAGAACTCAGAGGAACATTTTACTTTGTTGATTACAATGGGATTTAACTCAGAAATGGCCTGATGGAAGAGATGCATATGTCAGGGTATGGATAAAGGGCTCAGAGCTTCCATGTTCTTCTAAGTGTGCCACACTCCCCCAATCTCCAAGGGATCACTAATCTGGAAGCTCTCTGAACTCTATCCTTTTGGGGTTTTATGCCGGCTTCATCACACAGAAATTATTGATTAAATTGTTGGCCACTGGTGATTGAACTCAACCTCCAGCCCTTCTCCCTACTCCAGAGGCAAGGGTGTGAGGGCACTGAAAGTTCCAACCCTCTAATGCAGTCGGTTCCCTTGGCAACCAGCGCTCCTCTTTCTGTTACCTGGAGGCATTCCAAAAGTCACCTCGTTAACATAACAAAAGACACCTTTTTCTCTCTGTCACTTAGGAAATTCCAATGTCTTTAGGAGCTCTGTGCCAAGAACTAGGATGAAAACCAAATATATGTTTCTTATTATAAATCACAATATCACAGTATACACCGAAAAGAATTGAAAGCAGGGACTCAAACAGGTATTTGCACACCTATATTCGTAGCAGCATTACTCACAATGGCTAAAAGGTGGAAGCAATCCAGTGTCCATTAATGGATGAACAGATAAACAAAATGTGGTACAGACTTACAATGGAACATTATTCAGCCTTAAAAAGAAAGGAAAGTCTGACACATGCTACAAAGTGGATGAATCTTGAAGACATCATTCCAAGTGAAGTAAGCCAGTCACAAAAGGACAAATACTCTAGGATTCTACTCATGTGAGGTATCTAGAGTAGTGAAATTCATAGAGACAGAAAGTGGAGTGGTGGTTTCCAGGGTCTGGTGGGAGAGGGTGGGGAGAGGACGGGGAGTTCATGTTTTATGGGTACAGAGCTTCAGTTTTCAAGAAGAAAATCATTCTGGAGACAAATGTTTGCACAGAACATGAACATACTTAACACCACTGAACGTACATTTAGAAATGGGTAAAAAGGGGGGGCACCTGGCTGGCTCAGTTGGTTAAGCATCTGCCTGGTCATGATCTCAGGGTCCTGGGATTGAGCCCCATGTCAGGCTCCCTGCTCAGTAGGGAGGCTGCTTCTCCTTTTCCCTCTGTACCGCCCCCACCCCACCCCCACCCCCACGCTCTCTCTCTCAAATAAATAAATAAAATCTTAAAAAAAAAAAAAAAGAAAAAGAAATGGGTAAGATGGCAAACGTCATGCTGTATGTATTTTTTACCACAAGGGTAAACAGGTAGGGGAGCATGTGAGACAGGAGTGGAATTTCAAGATCAGGTTGTCCCACCCACAGTGTCCATTCACAGGTGGCACAAGCTGAGGTCGGAGGGGCAGTCATTTCCTGGGCGCCTGGTTAGTTAGTGCTGGAGCTGAGCCCAGGCTTCCTGCATTCTACATCAGTGCTCTTTCCTCTAAATGCCACTGTGTATCATTTTTCTCCACACAGGTAGGAGAGACACAGGTGACAAGGGCAGGCGCTTCAGGTAAATGTGGCATTATCACTTGTACCACCCCCTGATTCCCACTCGACTGTCCTAGTCCAGGACTCTACCACCTGAACCACTGCCACAGCCCCCTCACTGGTCTCCCTGACTCTAGAGGAATGCATTCTGCACACACTGCTCCTAAACAGCTCCAACCAGGTCATTCCCCTGTGTCCAAATTGTCAATGGATTCCCGTTCTCAAGAGCAGAAATGCCAAAAAGGTTTTGACTTAAATGCAACTCAATCAATTGGGAGTGGCCATGTGTCAGTTTGGATCCTCCCAGAAACAAACACCAAGGTGGGGTTAAAGGTAAAAGAGATCTGGGGCGCCTGGGTGGCTCAGTCGGTTAGGCGTCTGCCTTCGGCTCAGGTCATGATCCCAGGGTCGTGGTATGGAGCCCCATGTAGGGCTCTCTGCTCCATGGGGAGCCTGCTTCTCCCTCTTCCTCTGCCTGCTGCTCCCCCTGCTTGTGCTCACTCTCCCTCTGCCAGATAAATAAATAATATCTTTTAAAAAAAAAACGTGTAAGAGATTTGAGGGAGCAATACCTAAGAAGGGCATAGGAGTGGGAGCAGGAGTAGGGGAAAGACTTCACACAATGCAGGTCTGACAGTCCGACACCTGTGCAGGGGAGGGAGTGAGAGTTGGGTGGGAAGAGCCTCAGACCTCAGAGTCGTGCTCAGTGAGTCCCTGCCAGACTGATGGGGAGTCCTTGAACCAAAGCTGCCCATAAAAGGTGTCCCTGAGGGCAAGAATGGCCCAGTTCCAGTAGCCCTGCCATGCCTGGTCATTGGCCAGGAGCAGCTGGAAGAAGTCTGACCAGGTGTGGACACCATGTGGGATCCAAAGATGTGGCTGCCGGAGGGTGTCAATCAGCTGTGCTCCTTGCAAAAGTCTCCCTTGAAGGCAGATCCGAACGGGCACCTCCATGGCTGCCATAAGACATTGGGTATTTTCGTGTTTGTATGCTGAGAAGCACATGGATTCTGAGGCCATACTCAGGTCAGGAAGAAGCGCCACAATCAGTTACTGGTATTTTTGTGTGGTAGGCATAGGTATGGAAGTGAGATGAGTGGTGGCAGATGAGCAGTGTATTTGGCATTCCTTCTCTTAACCTAGTAGATAGAGTCGAATTCCTTAGTCTGCCAGCCCAGATCATCCATAACCTGCTTCCTATGCCTACTGAAATGCTATGTAGCCCTCAAGGCAAAAACCACCTCCAGCTTAAAACTTTCTTTTTGTTATCTGTCTTTCATTGAACTCCCCTAGCCTCTGAGCTTTTCTTATGGCACCTACTAAATTGTGCCTTGTATCTTCAACATGTATAAGCTTCAGCTCTGTTAGACAGCTCCTGAGTGTCCGTGTGATGCATCGTTCACCTGCAGTGCTGTTTCATCATGGCATATCTGTTACCACCTCGATCCATTGATGTAGAGTCTAGTCAAATTAACTTTCTCATATTGATGGGCTCATCTGATAGGACCATCAAGTTCAATGCCAATGCCTGGGCTGATGCATGGGTCTCCTCCATCTAAGAACACAGAGCCCTATCTCACACGTCCATGCCACCCAGCAGTGAAGAGAGCTGTGCTTTCCTCTTCCTGTTCCTCTGCCCTGTAGTTCTGATTCACATGGAATGGCTATGGCAAAGAACAGACCTTAGGAGAGACACTCAACACAACATAAAGACTACTTTAAGATTTCTTATAGAGTCCTAACAACATGTAAACAGTAGATATTCACTATCCCTTCTGAAATAAATAAAGCGAGCAATGCCAAAATTGGACAGGGAGAGGTGGCAAGATTTCTAAGACAAAAATTAGAGCTCCAAGGTTTTGCCCTGGGACAGCACTGGCCCCAAGATGGATACTAGATCACTGAGTTTGAAAGTAATGTTCTGTCAATTCCATTTCCTCTTCTACAGATCCCTTACTCTCCTGCTGAGGTTTCTTACAGCTCCCCACCTCCCTCCAACCAGCTTCAACCATTGCCATGAAATACATCACCCTAAAACGGAAATGCAGTAGACCCTTCTTAACTATGTAGAAATGGGTATAATGAGCTAGCTAGTCATTCTCCCTTTAAAAAAAAAAGAAAAGAAAAGAAAGAGAGGAATGAAAAAGAGCAAGAGTCACTTTAGGAAGAAATGAGCCATCTTCATGGAAGCATGAGACAGAGTCTAGAAATAACCTCCAAAGTGGAAATTTGATGACTGCCTTATTCAAAATATTTATGTGACTGAAAATACACTGTCAGGGTATTATAGAGCAGAGAGTTGCACTTGAGGGAAAAATAAGCTTCATGAATAGGAAAAATGCATTTAAATGATATATTTTTAATAAAAATTAGGTGTTCATGATTTGTCATTGAGGCATAGGTGTCTGATCTAACCGCCCTTATTTGCTCCTGTGATATACTTGGTGTTTTCAAAGGACACTCACTGCTTGTTGCTGCCCTGGCACCCTTCTGTAGACCCATGGACAAAAGGAGTACAGAGTGAAAGCACTCCAACGCCCCACTGCTGTAGAGCCCTAGCTGGGGGTGAGGGCTGCCTGAGATACACCCATGGGGACGGCTTGGGTTTCCTCTGCCCATTTCTCAATGCAGTAAAGAGAGAGCAGCTCCTGGGTTGCCACCTATAAATGATGATAGCATCCGTGATGCCCTGCAGTGCTGTCAACGAAGCCTTGTCACGTTCCACAGAGCAGCTAAGTCTGCTGAAAAAGCAAAGCCTGCTCTTACAGTTTCCTGCGAAACAGGAACCCCACCAGGTTGGTTCCTCCAGCTTGTCAGCCTTGCTCTCACAGCTTTCTCTGCGCCTCAGACAGTCTTTGTCCCCAGGGGTCAGCAAAGCAATGGTGCAAGACATGGGTGAGACAGGTGTGACTTCCTAAGAAACACACTGTGCAGTTTGGTGTCACCTCTGTGACACCTCCCCTTCCTCAGCTACGGCCTGTCCTCAGTCCCGGATGCGAGGCCATGCCTTAGGGACCCAGTTTGTCCCTGATCTCAAAGGAAAATGTAAATGAGAGGCACAGAGATGCAAGAGAAACAGAGAAAGAAACAGAGGCACACAGAGTGACAGCGAGATGGAAAGTCAGAGAGGCAGAGGGAGAAAGGTCTTAAGAAGGTGAAGAGAGGAAGAAAAAAGTGGAATAAAGAGGGTGGGGCGAGGAGATTGAAAATTATTTTTTTCCTTTTTTTTTTTCTCTCTGGGGGCTTGAAATTTCCTTTAGAGTGATTCACTTTGTTTCCTCTGCAGAGAGCAACTGCCGTGATTAATCCGAAATGCCCATTTGCCACGTCAGAAGAGAAAACCATGGTGGGGAGTTCTGGGCTCTGCTGCCCTGGCGAGAACCCTCTGGAACAGGTGAGAAGAACATGCTGCTTGCAGCTCACTAGGCAAGTGGGTGGTCCCTAAGGTCCACAGCACACTTAGTAACCACTGCTGGTGGGCAGGCAAATGGCCTGGGGACTGGCAGTCACAGTGCACACAGCTAGGAGGGTGTTAAGGAAGAAGTCTCCCCTCAAAGCCAAACCCACCCCTCCCAACCCAACCTGGAGTTCTCATCATGTGTCACACTGCCTGTGCCTGGGGTCTCCAGGACCCAGAATCCCATGACTGGAATGCAAGATGGTGACCAAAGGCACTGAAGGAGGCAGTGCTCCCACTTACAGTCCGAAGTGGAGGGAGCATCCAGATGGCCGGATTTGGTCTTGAATATTCTCCTGTCCGCTTGTTGTGGGACCTTGTGTGACAAGCCACCCAGCGTCTGTACTGTGTGTGTGAAGGATGTTAATGCCTATGCAATAGAGAAGTTGTAAGAATAAAGCTGCTTTGATAGTCTCCGTGGAGCCCATGAGCTCAGGACTGCTTTAACTGGTGGCTGAGGTCTGCAGGGGCGGGTTGTAGCATATCTGAGGTTCTGGGGGGCTTTGTTGGAGGGTCAGGAGCTGAAGCCCTTGGCTGCTGGTGTGTTCAAGGTGCTACACCAGAAGGACATGTGGAAGCTGACACAGATCTCACAGCCAAAAGGGGAAGATTCTGCGGTGGGCCAGTTCCCTGAAAGCCAATTCATAAAAGAATAGATTCTTGGGATGACCATTGCCCCGTGTACCTGCTTACAATGAGCTAGTTTTAAGAAACAGTCTTTCAGAAGACAATCAGTGAAATTTAACGTAGTTCTCTAATGCCTATGACCAAAGTTTCAGTGCTTTGCTTGGAAAAGGTTTTACTCATTTATTCATGCTTTCAGGGTTTACTCATTTCTTTCTAATCCTTTGAAAAGCCATTTTCTGTTGTGCCAAAATTGGAGCATTTTAAGGACTCTTCCCCCAATTCTATTGAATTTGCTGATTTACCAAAAAAAAAAAAAGTTTTAGCTTTTTATAAAATTTCTAACAATTAATAGATTTGGACTGTCTTCAAGAGATTTGGTTATTTCTAACAGGTTTTGGTTGACTTGTTCCTATTTCAAGGAATGTCACTTTGCTGCCTCAGCTCCCTGCTGCTGTACTTGGGGAGGGGTCGGAGTGGGGAGGATGGCCTTGGGGGAGGGAGCAGGGGGGCAAGGATTTGGAGAGAATGAGTGCTAGACACTGCCAGGCTACTGAACCCAGAGAAAGGAGAGGCTGGAGGAGAGACAAAGGGAGACTCTGAGAAGCAGAGAGGAGGGAAGACTGAGGGGCAGAGGGAGGGGAGCGAGGCTAAGGCTCAGAACAGGAGGGAGGGGGGAGTGTGGGAGCCAGCCTCCATCCATGTTGGCTGGGGACGAGCTGTGTACCAACAGCATGTTGCAGAAATGAGCCTGCAGTTTCCACCACACCCTCTCTTGGATCACTAGTTCCAGGATAGCCGGACGCCATGTTGTGGGATACTTGAGCTTCCTGAGAGGTGCACACGGCCAGGCAGGAACTGAAGCTGCCCACCAATAGCTGTGATGCCTGAATGTGGGTTTGGATCTCAGCCTGTTGATAGAGATGCTCTGGGCTAAGAATGCCTGGGACACTTACCTGTAAGAGCCCCCACAGACATTTCCCTAACCCAGCAAATGTGGTAGCTGGGCCAGTCCTGTAGTTCTTACTGCAGTTGCGATAGTTGCAACCTCAGCAACAGCTATCAGGGAACTTCGCAAAAACAAGGTTTATCATTCACAGGTCCTGGAGGGTACATGGTATGCCTGGGGACCACACCACAAGGTTATGGTTGGGGTTCTGCCTTTACTGGGATTGAGAGTGGGGTGCCTAAGGTCTCAGGGGTTCACTTTTTATGGGTGAAATGAAAACCTAAGAGCAGGAATTAAAGTTCCAGGAGGGAAAAGTGGGTCACTAAAAAGGGAACTTCATCGGTGGGGTCTTTATCTAGTTGTGTTGCTGGTGGCCTGTTTATTAGAGAGGGTTGTATTTGAAGCAGATGCCTCAGCAATCCAAAGCTTCATGTCACACACTTAGAATAAAACAAGCTAATCGCCCAGCACTTAACACTACGGCTAGCCATCTGGGAAGTGGATGGCAGGATATCTTGACTGCAGACCTCAGAGGGCAGGATATCTTGACCGCAACCTTGTAGGGCACCCCAAGCCTGAATCACCCAGCTAATCTGCCCTGAATCCCTGACCCCCAGGAACCCTGGGAGATAATACATGGTTATTGTTATTTTAAGCTGCCATATTTGGGGATAATTGGTTATGCAGACAGACAGGGGAGGACACAGAAGAGCAGAGCAGGGGAGACTGAGGAGGAAGGAGAGTTGCAGGGCCCCAGATCCTCGGAGGCCTGACTCTCTTGATGGCTCTCTCCATCCCTGGCAGTGCATCTGTAATGAGTTGCTATAAGCTTCACGAGTAGTTGAAAGGAACATGTATTTTATAAAGTTGGGACATTTGACAAATTGGTCTTTATGGAAATGATCCTTTGATAAATTGACTTTCAGTGAATTGATTTTGTATGAATAACCTAGAGCTGGAATGCCTACAGTGTTTTCATACTTTGTAATCATAGAACCAGATTTTAGAAAGTATTTTAATTGAGATATGATAAGGTGGGGTTGATATAAGTATTAAGGTAATAAGTAGCTGAGATAGAAGTTTGGGAGTTATATCTCTGTCTCTCTCTCCCTCCCTTTCCCCCTCCTCCTGACCCTCCTCTTCCTTCTTCTTCTTCTTCTTGATTCTCGCTTGTGCTCTCTTGCACCATATCTGGGTCATTGAAAAAAAAATGTAATAAATTCCCTATCCACAGGTGACAATACATATACTTTTTGATTTCTGCCAATCTCTGATTATGTCTGGCAGTAAATTTTTCTTTACAGGATGATAAGAATATAATTTACAGATAGAATAAGAAGAGAAACTGGATTCATAAATAATGTCTCCACTGTTGCCTAAAAGATGCCAATACTGCTTTCACAAAGATATGGAAACATGCTTCCCCTTCTAAATCCCCTCTGATTGCCAATGAGCAAGCCAGGTACAACTGTTACTGAAGGTTCCTGTGAAGCCAAGTTTGAAAACTCGTTTCACCCACTGAAGAAGAGGAAAGTAGGGAGATGGTGTTGACTACACACCATGCACCAACCTTGGGGCTATGAGTGGTAAAAACATGACCTCCTTGTACATTTATGATGAGTACTGAGTAATGAATAGAATTGTTGAATCATATATTGTATACCTGAAATTAATATAACACTGTGTGTTAACTATACTGGAATTTAAGAAAAATAATAAAGTCAACTGATTGTAAATGTTTTTTAAAAAATGGCCCCCCTAATCCCCAAGATCATCTTCTGAGGACAGTGTTACTGCCCTGATTTTAGAGACTGGGAAATTGATGCTGAGGGCTGCTTAGTTAATTGCCACAAGTCACTCAGCTAGTAAGAGGTAAGTGAGACTTGAGCCCTGCTCTCCTGGTTCTTGTAGCTCATGGTCGCTCATGTGAGGTCTGCTTGATGTGAGGGCTAGAGTGTCTTGGGGGTAATGCTCTCCCCCAACATTAAAGCCTATGATGAATGGGCAGTGTGGACAGCCAGGAGCAGGGGCTGCTAGAAGCATGGCTGACCCCTACAGGCCTGGGAATGTCTAGGGAGCTCAGCACTGCTCTACAGGAAGAGGGAAGTCTGTGAGCTTTGAGATTCAGCCCAGGTAGCAGCTCTGAGAAGACTTCCCGGGAATCACAGGTGGACCCAGAGCCCAATTCCAGGCCCCAGTGGTTGTCTTAGCATTTGCTGCCTCATTCTGGAATTTTCTTCATTTCTGTCTTTCACTTGAGACCCCAAGCCCCTTGAAGTCAAAGCCATGACTCCTTCATTCTCATTCCCCACTCTGACCTGGCCAAAGGTTGGCATGAGGAGGGATCTTACTAAATGACCACTGAGCGGAACTGAACCGAAGGGCCCAGAGCGGGAGCACAGAGCTGCTATCGTGGAGAGACAAATGACTGCCCAAGGCAGGGAATTGTGGCCACACACGAGAGCAAGGAAGATGAAGGCCCGGAGGTGTTCCACTTTTTGACTGTTATGAATTAAACTGTTATGAACATTTGCGCACGAGTCTTTGTGTACACATGTGTTTTCATTTTCTTTGGGTAAATACCCAGGAGTAGAATTGCTATGTCATTGGGAAAATATATGTTTAACTTTACGAGAAACCAGGAAACAGCTTTCCAAGTTGTTGGGGCCATCGGACATTGCCACCAGTGATGTATGAGCATTCTATCCTAGTGGGTGTGTAAGAATACAGCCTTGTGGTTTTGACTGGCATTTCCCTGATGACTCATGGTATCAGTTATTTTTTCATGTGCTTATTGGCCATCTGTATGTCTTCTTTTATAAGGAGTCTAGATCCTTTGCCCATTTAAAAATTCAGGTTGTTTATATGTTTATTGTTGATTTTTAGAAGTTCTATACATATTTTAGATTTATATACTGTAAATATTTTCTACTAGTATATAGCTTAACTTTTCATTTTCTTAATGATGTCTTTTGATAAGCAGACTTTTTTATTTTAATGAAATCAATTGTATCGAGATTTTTTGTTTTATTTTATGGTTGGTACTTTTTTGTGCTAAGAAATTTTGCCTGTATTCACTTAAGTTCATGAAGATATTCTCCTGTATTTTCTTCTAGAAGATTTATATTTTAGGCTTTTGTGTTTAAATCTGACCTACCTCTAGTTAATTTTTATGTGTAATATGAGGTAAGGGTTGAAATTCATTTTTCTTTCCATACAATTGTCCCAGCACCATTTGTTGAAAATACTTTCTTTTCCCCCATTAAATTTCATTGAAGCTTATGTTTATAATTTACATAAATATTATTGGGCTGCAGTTTTCCTTATGTTTCTTAATTTTTCACTTAACACAATATTTATAAGA